ATCACCGCTTCCTCTGTGCATAGCGCACGTTACTTGGTAGTACTTGCAGTCACTACCACGACCGAGTCGTGAAAAGACTGGATCCTTTGCGAGGATGGAACGTTTCAACACTTGTCCCGAAGACGAGTATACCATCTTATCAAGTTTTGTCTATCTTGGGTCCCAATAGAATAAAGGGCTGGCGGCTACGGTGATCACATTCACCACTTTGACAATGATAGGATTCGGAGCGCCCCAACCTATAGTCGGTAGGTGAAGATACAATACTCACCACCAGACCGCTAATGTCAAGCCTTGGGTTCCGAGTCGTCAAGAATCTCTCCCTATGGACGAGAAAAATTAAAATGACCATAAATTCGATTTGCTCCAAGCAGAGCAACAGCTCAAGAATGGACACTTACGTTTAGTACTTCAATTAAACAGACGTTCTCATCGTGGGACAAATTGCAGCGACAGATGCCGCGGGTGATCGCGCTAAAAAAGGCAAATACTGGTGAACTGTGTCTAGAAGCTAGGATTTTAATTGTCGCAATGACGTCTGATTCTTTGTCGGAGGCATGAAAGGCCTCCGAACGGTTTTGGCTTGCATTGAGACATACCTTTCCTCGTACAAGGGAGTGGTGGGTGCTGCGTTCGATACAGAGTACAGCTTTCGTGCCGCGATAACAGGTTGAAGTGCTGGAATGCTAGCTTGGTAAAAGCGCCAAGAGTGATGAACCTCAGTGATAGAAAAGCGCTATTTCTACCTACTATGCGACACCTATAGATACCACAAGTTTTCAGCTGCGGTAAGACAGAACATCTGCGCCTAGTGTGCACCCATCGTTCTCGGATGATAGGCACGATGGAGCGAGCTTATTTAGCAAGGGCAGTCAACAAACCTCCCATGAGGAAACATGATGTCCTTGTATGCGCAGAGTGGTCTACCGGAAAAAAATTGCACCTCAACCTCATGAGGTCGTGGTCGATGCCTTACAATTTTGATTCCCTTAAGGCGAAAGAATAAATATGAACACGATATCCACGGTGTGATTGGTACAACACGGGCCAGGGTCGACTGCAAGTCAAAAAGGTAGAACAAACTTTTGTAGCGTCGGCGAATCATTATACCTTCTCTGCTAAGAGCGCGAGAAGCTTTGATCAGAGCCAGGAGGCAGAAGCAACAGTGAGTCGAGGTGTGAGGATAAAACGGAAATGAACGACTCGGTATTGCGGCTTCCAGAATGTATCGACTAAACTTTGTACGTCATGACCTTCAGGGTGCATCGCTGATCGGACGGTAAGGAACAGCTGCAAGCTGCTATCTTCTTTGCCAGTTTAGTGGAGTGCTGAAACGACTGGATGTCGCAATTTCTCTTATTGATTCGACGAAATTGAAAGCTGACCGTAAGTTGCGAGCTAATGGGCTAGCCCTGATAATACTTGGCATGTTTTACCTTTGTCATGATCTGACGGCACTGTTGTATCAACAATACCGTGTGATGGGCCCACAGTGCGGAGCTTCACTGCTCCTCACTATGACCGGGTCAGTCCTAAGTGTTGTGAGTCTCCCTTCTCTACCTTTGGCAGCAGCTCGTTTTAACGGTGAGAATTTATCTCGAGGAAAGTTGCGAGGAATTACAAGGTGGTGAGGTCACCGACATGATACAGTTGAATCATAGAAGGAGCTATGCTCGTCATCCGCCATGAGTAAAACTTCAGTGAGACGATTTCAGATCACTGGACGCTAGATCTGAACAACTATTGTTAAGGATCGTATGAGGTTTTGCTACCCTTTGTTGAGGAATTGTCACGAAGCGATGACGAGAGATTGGCCCGCGTTTTAATCCGCGATAAGGGAGTGTGTGATAAAATTGACTTAGTTAACCAAATATAGCGTCACATGGTATGATTTTACCAATAGAGGGGAGTGATTTCATTAATAAGCTTTCGTATGAAGCACGAAGCGGAATCGGTAGAGAAAGTATATCACCACTTTCTGCGCCGACTTTCTGTGTCAGAAAGGCTAACGGCAAGTGGCAAGTATGTATGTTCTTAATAAGCCAAACGCGAGAGAACTTCCGGTGCAAACGCTACTTCATAGAAGGAAAATGTCGCAGAATAGCATGATTGGTGACATTGTTTAGTGGCATCTTCTATTGCTGATGATACTCCGAACGGGATACCCCAAGAGTGGATGGTCATGCGACATTGACTGTCTAATGTACCAACAGCAATTGTTCGTCAGATAACACAGCCGTGCCGGCACCATCGCGGCTATGCACAAGTCGATTTGACGATATATTCGTGCATTGATGTGCAGAGTACGAAATGCTGGCAGTGAAAAAAACACATTAATTGTTTGCGAGCGGTGTACAAAATAGTGTGTGCCGACAAAATTCCTCCACGGAGTTCTTTACCGGAAGAATAGTCAGTGGAAAGATCTCGCAAAAATAGTAGCCATTGGAAGCTGTAACGTACCGCTGGTTCAGAACGACATGAGGTATGAATCGGCCTGGCCAATTACTTGCGCAAAATAGTACAGACTGATGCGATACGATACGACGCCTCAGTAATCTTTTAAACGGGTGCTAAGTGGCGGTGGAAGATGTGTCCATTGTGGCTGCGAAAGAAGGCCTCGAAGTTGCCATGGTTTCAGCTCTTAAGAATTCATATCAGCCATTCCACGTTGTATGCCTTTGCAATAATATGCGTTTGTCAATGAACGAACGCGTGATCGTGCTTTGTTGGCTGAAATCTGCTCAAATGAACTACTTTGATCGTGATGAGAATGGTCATGAAATGCAGTATACCTCATCAAATTGAATAGGCACCTGCTCGGCTATAATCCGTTTGTGATATATTCACTTCATGCGTCATTGTGCACAGCGACGATGCCACCTTATCGCTCACAGCAAATGGCAAGATGGCTATTCTTCTTTGCTAAATTTAATTATAAGGTGTCGGGCGGGTTTGCTAAATGTGTTTTTGGCATGAGCTATCGACTAATGATGATAACATGACACAATAATGTCGTTGCCGGTGGATAAGGCAACACGTACAGCATGTGAATCTGATACTAAATGTATTGCGCTGTTAAATGCTCTAGGAAACAAGGAGCTTAAAACTCAGGTGTTATTTTATTCAAGCGCGCGGATGCACGCCTGCACCGCTATCCCCTTCCCAACGTTGCTGTATTACAGCCCTGTACCACATTAATCGCGACATAGTGCCCAATTATGAGAATCCCATGTATAGGATACTGTACGATGCACATGATATCCCGTTGGATGGCCACCTCGGGGAGAGAAGACATACCTTTCAGTTAGCGCAATGAACTGATTGCCCAGCATGTATGGGTGGATATGCAAATATGCGTGCGTTTGTAAATCTTGTCAAATAGCTAAGTCCTTGCTGCATGCGGGAATACTTTTGGCCAGACTGCCGTTTCCGACAGAGTGCTGGAAGTGCACTATATGTTTGGTATTTCAAGTGACGCGTCCGGAAATACCAGCACTTTGTTCTTTGTGGGCCGTTTGAGCGAGATCGCTTATCTTGGCGCTGTCAATGAAATTGTGACCGGCAGAAAACACTTATGGTGCTCCTCGACAAAGTGTTTAGCAAACATAGCGTACCGGACGTCATTTATAACGGTGAGATTCTCAATAAAAGCAACATATGGCAAACATTGTCCAATATCCTCGGTACCAAATTAGATATGTTGACTGCTGACTATTTGCAGAGATAGTCATATAGATTGCATGAACTGTGTTGTAAGAGACATTCTCCAATCTTTTGTGCGCGCAGAGACCGCGATGCTGGAGTGAGTGGCTCCCAATTATTGAGACTACGTTGAATGATGCAGCAAATCGCATGCTTATCTACCATAAAAGGCACCAACTTGTCGGTTCTATTAGCATCAACGAGTTGATCGGCACTTGTATTGGTGACAAATTTGGTCAAAAAAAGCAACAGAGGGGGTCTCTGCTTTGATTGGGCTTGATTGCCGTTTGCTGGCACCAGAGATGTGATCGACACGGTAGCTATCAAGATTTGGCTTTACATTCAATCGCCCAACCATCGCAAATGAGGTTTGAAGCTTTAGTATATTTTAAAAATGTGCTTTTCTATATCTGTTATGCATTAAAAGTATCTCTACAGAATGTCAGTTCGAATTAGGCGGACTCCTTATTTATTGACTAATGGTCTCAATCAAGCACTCTAATCGGCAGACAATATCAAGTCCAGATGATGAATATGGCTCTTAGAGTTCGTGGTTTCACTCCGTATTCTGTTACTTTGAGGTCAATTGAGATTCTGATTAAGTAAAATATCTTCAGTTACACTTCTGAATGACACGCTATTCTAGTGTCTAAAGTCAACGCATATCATTTCAGGAATAATGTTTCAAAATGGAAAGAATCCATAATCTCTGATAAGCCAACAGTGATGAATTAAAACGAAGAATGGACGCTGGATGATAGGTATGTGCAATATTTGAAAAGAGAGGCAGCAAAAGCACGACTCAGCATATTTGGAGCCACATTTATGCAGTATGAATGTGCGATTTCCGGAATCGGAGAGAGAATTTCCACTGGCAATGAAGACTCACTATAATCATTACCGGCGATATGACAAAGTCCGAAAATTGCTGATGACCCGCTTTGTGTGAGCAATGGAAGGTTTCAAAGACTCAATCACAAAGCGGTATATTCGCAAAACGTTTTGAAAGTAACAAGTGAAGTGGAAGTTCGTTCTGCGTGTTATAGGACTCAGGAGACTACCCACCCCTACAAACCAGACAATGTTTACTATTTTGACGAGGGTGAACTCTTCTGTCAAATAGTATCCAACCAAATTTGGCTACGAGTGAAAATAGGCGGACCAGAGCTTGCATTACAATCGCGTTTTACTGTGAAACGCCCGGCAAGGATAACATGGACCCAATTGTTATTGGTGCGACCTTTAGTTCGCTCTAAAAAGACAAGCCTATGTAGTAGTACCACAGCAAAATAGCGTGGATGACTGCAGTGATCTTTCAAAGCGGCTTCAGATTTCAACAATTTTTGAGAGCCACAGTCTCTGCTTATCGACAGCGTGTCTACCACGAGATCGTAACTTCTTTAAATCGTGATAGTCCAATTCTAGTCTTTAACTTTATATCCGTCCGTGCTACCGTTAAAGTATGGTACAATGCGCTCAGCTAAGGCTCGATATTGCCGTTGTTTTGTTTGATGTTGTTTAGATCTATGGATTAAGGCACCAACACGAAATGCAGCTTCCGATTTTAACACTGGTAGTTGAAAGGATTAAACGCCTGAGTGCATGTGTAACTGTTGGAAATAGTAAAGGATTCCGTAGTAGTCAAAGATTGTAGATGTAGCCAAGAGGCAACAAATGTTCTAGACATTGAGGTGGTTGACGACATGGTAAAAATGTTAATGGTCACGATTAATGTTGAGAAGTCTCCGAAATGAATACAGACATTGGACATTTAGATGATGCTGATTGTGAAAGTGAAAATACAAGATCCGTCGTACCGGCATCAGCAACACTTCGGGAATCCATACAACTCATGGAGTTTTTAAGTGCAAGATAGATACCCAACGCGAGCAAGAGATGTCATTATTGAAGCTAGTGTCTGATGTAACACGCAAGTGTCTTACAACTTCTTCCAGTAATTGGCTTCATATTGTCATATCTCCTGTAACTACGCGCTCCATTAGACGAGTAAAACTTTTTGAAAAGACCAATCGGCCCCACGAGTCAAAGAGGTGTTACATTGTGACGAAACGAGTAAAATCCATTAATTCAAACTTTTCTGAGTGTACAAACCTGTACACTCCAACGGCGACGATGTCAATAGCATCCAAAAATTGCATCAACTTCATCTTGATAAAAATGCTTCCGACGCTTGCTTCTTCGATTTGGTTTTTTTCTCTCTCTCATAAGCTTTTGTTGCTCTTTGATCGCGACTTCAGCACGAAAAGATTTTTGCTCCAGAGAAAATTCCAGATTTTGTACATTTGAGTATATAAAATCGATTAAGGCATCGACATCCATGCCAAGCGGAAACAAAAAACCCATGCCTAACTCTGGAGAATTTTCATCCCACGAAACTTGGGGCTGTTCCATAGAATTGGCTGACAGAAACAACGTGATTTTGTTCCAGACAAGACTATGCAGACGCAGCTCCATGAAATTGACGAGCAAAAAGTTTGCAATCCAATGAAATGCACTTTTTCTCATCTCCAAGTCCTGAAATTTTGGCAAGAAGAGTCTTGTACGCAGCAAACTTGTTAATACGGCATGGTGTGTAGCTGTCAAATTGTAAGAATTAAAAAGTATTGATAAGTAACGATTCACTAAGATTTCGATGTATCATTCAGAGCACTTACTTGGAATATCTTCCAGTCCCGTCGTTATTTCCTGCACAATATCTTTTTCGCGTGAGAGCTTCTTGTAAAACCTACTGTCAAACTGTTCCAACTCCCGCTTCTTCGCCTGATTTTCTTTATTAACATGAATCCCATGCTTGATTGCCTGATCTGCAAGCGTCTCTTCCTCCGCCAGCCATTCAGCTAATGCAGTCATCTTCTTTGTATTTCCTTCTTCCACATGAAACGGTACTTGTGCCACGAGAAACAAATCCTTTAGTATTTGTTTTGTAGTGCGTTGCCACTCGCGCGCGAACGGAGCTAGAATCGCGGCTTCTGGATCGTCACGAATGTTCGTCAAGCGACCAGGATTCGACAGCGTGCGCTTAATCAAACGCCCTGGAACTTCGACTGTGTAATTGACTTGAGCCAAGCCGTCTACATTTTCTTGGGATTTCAACTCGTCTACTTGGACATAGAACATCAATGGGAATCGCACTGGTGCATCAGAAAGATCTTGGCAACTTGCTGTACGAGCTAAGATGTGTTTTCGAGCATTAAATGCGTCATTATTGCAACCGAAAGAGGCCAACTCGAGAAATACATTGAGTTGTTTAAGTGCCTGTTCGTTCTTCTGTGCCAAAGCAGGCGCTTGTCGTTGCATTGTATCTGGGTGCAAGCGGAACAGCAACGGTGACACATATGGTGTAAGGTTAAATCCCTTTATCCGGCGAAGACCTGATGCCGAGGACAACCATCGACACAACAATCCTCTCTGTAACATGATCCTATTATACGGTTGGGATTGGCTGAAATGAGCAATACAGCCGACGTAGTGCTTAAATCTCGCCACATGGAGGGATCAACCGATCATTTGACTTCATGGCGCACAGTTGTGACTAGATTAGCTTACACTTAAAGCCGGCAGACTTAAGGTTATTAAGGTCATACGATCAGATTTTTGCATCATAGTGTGGTTGCAACGCGTGAAAGGTAGATAAAGTCAGAAATGCAGAAAATTGCAAGGTGAGACGCCAGCCTTGTAGAGAGGAATGCAATGGATTTGAGATACAATTGCAAGATACGCAGCAAGCAAAATAAAGCTTAGAGCTGACTTTTCTGGTTATTGCGTTAATACTTTCCATCCCCTTGCGAGTGCATAAGAAGATGAAAGCTGCTTTAGTGATTGAGTATGTCGATCTATACAAACTATCGGATCGATCAGAGAATTGTAGTCTATTGATACATCATTGAACATCTCGACAAAGGTATTCTTCCTCACATCGATCATACAATTAGAATATTTTGTAAAGAAATGTCACCATTCAAAAGACCATTGCGTCCACTGACTCATTGGAAAGAGATGAACACAAAGGTGAGTTATAGAATGGGTACTGCTGTAGCAAGTGAAAAAAATTGGACTTTTCTACTGACGAAGAAAAGAACAGAGTGTATCTTGCAACAATGGGACTTGTGAATAAAAGCTCACATGCACGATCACCGCATCGACGTTAGCATGCGACATGGCTGCAAGTGATATCGCTGTAGATGCGGTATGATTAATTTCCCGACGCCTTTACGCCACACTCATACTTTCTGCTACATACTACGCCCACTTGTACATGTCAAGCACGCAAGCGAGTTGCAGGATGAGCAGGCTATAAACCAACGTTCTGCACAGGACGAATCAAATTCGTATATGAAGTTTCACTTGTAGCTTCGTGACAATGATTGGAGTAGAAACGCTAATGTGGTATACACCTTCTTACGTATTTTTGACACAATTTTATTGTGGTGAACATAAAGCAAGCTTTTCAAAAGGTTACGCTGAAAGTTGTCAATAGCTCATGGATAGTCGCGGGGTTGAGTGTGAGCACAAGATGGTCACCAAGCCAGGATTTCCGATCGTCCGAACGCACTTTGACTCGCATGATGAGAACCACCGACTGCATTTAGTGCCACCGTCGTCTGCAGATCGATCGCCACTCAAGTCGTGGCGTAATATGCCGAGTCCAATGGACCACCACCAAATATTAAAGTGTTCATTCGAGTGCAACGATGGTGAAGAAAAAGCCCATAAACAAGAACGATCTACAGCACGTACAATCAATCATGTGACGCTTGGCTTTATCGCATACTTCGCAGTAGCCGCGGGACCATTTGGCATCGAGGATGCAGTGCGAGCAGCGGGCGCGTATCCAGTACTATTAGCTGTCTTACTACTGCCATTCACATGGGGTTTACCGCAAGCTCTTATGACAGCTGAGCTTAGTTCTATGATTGACGAAAATGGTGGTTACATTCTGTGGGTGCGTCGTGGACTGGGTGAATACGCAGGCTGGGTCAATGCCTTTAACAGCATTGCCAGTAACGTTTGTGATTTGCCAACCTATCCTGTGCTATTTTGCAGCTATGTGGAAGCTTTTTTGGCGTCAGGTTATAGCTATACGCTGTCTGGCTTAGAGAAATGGCTGATCAAATGCGTGGCGCTACTGCTCGTGTTCATGTCGAATGTAGTTGGCATGCGCGCTGTAGCACTCGCTTCTGTGCTCATGTCTCTCTTCGTATTGACTCCATTTGTTTTAGAGCCATTATCGGTAGATACTTTTAATCTTGCAACATGGGGCACTGTAGCACCTCAAATTGACTGGTCGCTCTTTCTCTCGACGATTTTGTGGAACTATCAAGGTGCGTGATATGATGAATAGCAAAGTATGTAATCGATGAATGTAATGTTGTGATGGCTAGGGTGGGACTCGCTTGGATGTGTCGCTGGAGAAGTAAAAGATGGTGGCAGGACATATCCAATTGCTATTGTCATTGCAATGGTTTTGATCACAATCAATTACGCGTTACCAGGTCTGTCTTTCAACATGGTTTAATTTGTTTGTGTTTCATTTTGAGCAATTTTGATTTCCTTATCTTGCAGTTGGTGCCGGAATTATGGTTGAATCAGATTTTTCACAGTGGCACGAAGGTTCCTTAGAGACAATTGCGATCATGATCACTCCGTGGCTAGGTGCATGGGTAGGTGTGGCTGCTATCGTTGCGACCTTGGGTGAGTTCAATGTCGTAATGGCGTGCAGCTCACGAGCTCTGTGGGCAACAGCGGACTACAAAATGCTACCGTCTTTCCTTGCTATCGAGTGGAAACGTTTTGGGACACCTGTTGCTGCTATTATCTGTCAAACTGTGACCACTGGCGTATTAATGAATTTTTCATTCGAGTTTCTCGTGGTGCTCGATACATTTTTTAACAAGTAAGTGACTAGTCGCTTGGCATTCGTTGAAATTTGTGAACTGCTGTGTCAATTGACGTTGTGTTTTATCAAAAATGGTATTGCAGTCTCACGTTGCTGCTCGAATTTTTCGCCTTTCTACGTCTGAAATACATTGAAAAAGATACCGTGCGTCCGTTTGTGGTTCCGTTTGGTAATACAGGTGCCTGGGCAATCACGCTGCCTAAAATTATCGTGCTCTCGGGTGTTCTGCTTGCTCAAAAGCATCACGTATGGGTGACTTGTGGGTTATTTAATATAGCTGTATCTGGTACTTATCTGGTCTGGCGCCGCGTTCAATCAGCTGCCCAAACCACTACGGAATTGTCTTCTACCGCCTATGGCACCGGGCAGCTATCCTAGCATGAGTAGATTATGTTTAAATCTTCATTTTGTATCAGACAAATTGTTTAACAGTGATTCAAAATTGTTCAAGTCTCTTAGTCATACCATCAGTTTGAATATAGACGGATTTTTAGCCTTCGAATGTACCAAGTGCCGTAGTCCAAAATATATGAATTGACTCAAAAATTGAGCATGCTTATCGCTGTCTTATATTGCTACGTTGTGCTCAAAGATTCATTTAATTCCCAATAAATTGCTGCGGTTACATTTAATTGTTAAGATCTTAAAATTACCTTTAAAAACATCCTTAATCTGAGAGGCAGAATTTATTCCTAAATTCTTTGTGAGTCCACCATTCGTTTAGCGCCGATATAATGCACGATGTTCATTTGTTTTGCTTTATGCTTCGGTACAGCTAAGCACTGAGCCTTTGGGAAATGTCAGTAAGCGTGTCGCGAATTAAGACCGTGGTGTATGTGCCGCGAAATGTCTGTCGGGCACACTATGCCTCTTTGTCTTTCAAAATGGATATGTAAACTTGAAATAAATGTATGTTGTATCAACTTTAATTTACGATCCTGCATTGTATCAGGTCACAAACCTTTTCAATCTTCTATGAAGCATTGACGGCTTACCTAATTTTCCATTTGGTGAGCTTGATGTTGACAAAGTCGTATGATTTATCAGCACATATGATTTGAAGATAATAGTTCTATTTTGATGCTGCAATTTTTACTTAAGCAATTAATTTATGGGTTTATTGCAAAAGGTGGATGGCAGCCGATCCTCTCCCCGAGGCGGTTTCAGCGACCGACTTTATGGAGGACCTCCGCACTGGCGTGGCGAGAATGACAGTCTTTCGTGTGCATCCTTCTTCGTGTGAAGAAGCGGTAAATGTAGAATTTAATGCCGAATTCACCTTTAAGTCGGCGCGACTTTTCTGGAATCCACACCCTCATAGCTCGTCGAGCAGACCTGGACTAGTGTATCTCAGCTATGTTCGGAAAGAGGGGTTAGAGTTCCGAGCTGCTGGGCAGTGTTTAAACACCCGACGGTGTTTTGTCTGTGGAGACACCCGTCAACTTCGGATTGATTGTCCCCTGCACAAGACGCGTCAAGTTTCATCGAACCGACGTCCCGCTTCTCACCAGTTAGGTTTGTCGCGTGGAAACGACAGCACCCAGTAGGTGCGGCGCACAGTACTGGGAAGAACTGAGTTTTGTTGAGACTCAAAGAGGTAGAGGGCAGCAGGGCCCAGCACCGAAGAGCTCCGTGCTCTTGAACACGGAACGTGTATGCAAGTCGGGCTTCCTGGTCGTACAAGCGACCGTGAAGAGCTTTGAAAAGCCATGGAAGATCCTTATCGACTCCGGGCGTCGGACAATTATGCTTGACGCTCCACAATAAAGAAGAAAGTCAGCTGCATGCTGAGGCGTGGCTAAGAAGACTAGATGATATCACGCAGCTAATACTGAGAACAACCATCAAGTTGTAGTTTGGGTTTACGATGTCAATGGTACAAAATTTAAAGTTCGGATGCCAGATTTGACGACATGATGCAAAAACTCGGCGAACAACATGACTGGCGTATTTTTAAGAGGTTCTGATCGTTACGATGAACACACTTCAATCTTGCGAGCGCTAATTGACACTAATCTTAGCTCTTTGACGAACACCCGATTTAACCGAAATTTAATATGTGTAGATTCTGGACTGATGCATCTGCAGATCGCAGACCGTTATCTTAATAAATACATGTATTTATTAAACAGTACCTCGTCTTTTAATGTTTCTGTATTTAAATCTATTCAGATGGGAAAGGTTAGAGTGGATGATGAATGTCAAGCATTGCATACGGGAGCTCAAACGTACTCTGTTTGGATATATCACGCTGCTTCTATTTGTAGCCCTTACGCCTTGGATTGGAACGAGGTATAAAGCACGTTCAAAAAGTTGCACATTGCTTTGTGGGACACCAGGTAATCATTCAAATATACCCTTCCCTTTCGCTTAAATCAACAAATTGATGGTGAAGAAGGCAGACAAATACCTCTCGCTGTGTAACTTGTGATTGAATTTCTGCCGCATTTTCGCTTGATGTGCAATTTTTGCTCGATCAATACAAGCACCTGTGCCAATTGTGCATCCAGTTTAATTTTGCTTAACGCAACCATCATGTCTAGGAAGCCATAAAATGTTATTTCTGTAGATGCAGTGTACGCTTTTTACCTAAATAAGTGCCAGTTTCATCAACGAACTTGATATTATAAGTGCACCGCATTCCTTCAAGGATGCCGGCGTCAATGGTGAGAAGAATTTACTGGTAAACAATGTGAGCTTTACAATTCGCTTGCTGTATCGCTTGACAGCAAGTCGACTTAGATGACACCACAGCAGCATGTTCAATAATTAAGTCACATTATGTAACATAATAATTTGTTGGCTCGTGTATAGATATTTACACGATCTAGTGTGCACTTCCAGTGGCCAGTGTTCAACGACGTCAATTTCATTACATCAAACTTTATAGGCTCGAATAATAATTCTAACTGAGTTTACTTTGCATACAGTCGCGGTAGATATCAAGTAGCGGCAGACAAAGAGAAGCTTGTGATGCTGCAGCGGCAAAAAACATGGAAGCCCATCCACAGTGTTTAATCTTTTACGTTTGAAAGCAAAGTATGCATACGGTACGGTCTTAGCTGACAACATTGACAGGTGGCACATGAATTGCAGCTTCTGAGGTCATTTGGAAATAATATTTGTAAGGCTTCACGAATGAGTATACTACTAATTACACTGGAGATAAATTTCAAATGAAGGCCATGAATGACAAAATCGAGGAGGCGTTGAGACGTAGACGGCGAGTATGGGCGCCTGAGACAATTGTAAAGGAACAGAGACGTTGTTGCCCGAAGGCAAATTAAAAAGTAATTAATCACTTACAGTTGGCGGTGACAAGCTACTAATTGCCGCACAAACAATAAATCTTGGCAACAGAATATTTACGCACGTATTCAGGTTCCATTCTAAACTTGCATTTCTCAATTCCCGTTTTGTCGGTAGCTACAAATGAAAGGCTACGAATCCTTATGTACTTTCGGTCGGAAATGTCGCACAGTGTCGCTTAATCACAATTTCCGAATGAAAATTATTTATTGTAGTCCGTGCAATTCTGTGTCAATGATAGTTTAAACTGATGTAAAAGACACGCAATTTTACTTTTACGCCAACCAGAATAACCTGGCCAGCTGAGCTGCTTCATTACTCACAAAAAATTGAAAACTCATCAATTTTTTCGTTTACTCCTAAGCTATTTTTTGTTTGATGTAAAAGCTAATAAAAATTTATAGGCTACGGCTCTCGTAGTATTTACATTTTCCAGATAACTTTGTCGTAGTGTGTGAGCTGATCAAAGCCCGATAGTGAAGGCACGAAGTTATTTGCTTAAACGCTTGATTGACAGAGATTCTAGAATCTGAACCGCTATGTAAATTTGATAGAACTCTGTTCAATTATCAAAAAATTGACCCCTTGTTGTTGCCCTTGTGTGACGATGAATCGTTGGCTCTTGCCAAAGTTGCGGTTGGAGTATTGACGTTAATTGCCACGATTGTTTGCGAGTAATGCGTGGTTTCGACCGTGTGTGATAGCAGTGCGACAGTTGTGTTGGGATACCGAATACAGGGGTGCCAGTTAATGCGCATTACACTTGATTTTTTGGGCTCAAACGTGGAATATGTGTCGTTTGTACTTGTGCAGAAAGCTCGGAAGTTCAGTGTTGAGCCCGATGATAGTCTTGTTTGATGTTTAGTTGAAGAGTGAACGTACATGGGTACGGGTGCCGACCTGCCACAGATACAGTCTTGAGCTTGGTATGTTTTGATCGAAACCAAATCGCGATCGAAGTTTGGACGTTAAAATTCTTTGTTTCGATAGCACTGAAAGGATGCAGATTACGACTGTGCAAAGTCAGTAGTTAAAGTGCAACCTATAGGTTGTCTTTGAATTTTTGAATTATAGAAGTAGAGGCGTGTCCAAGAGGCGTAGTAAGTGCCACTTTTTGCTGTGCGCCGGCTTGTGAAATGGTGTGTCGACTGGTGAGTGGGTGACACGCCATTTTGAGTAGTCGGACCTCACTTTGAATAGCTAGGGTTTAGCGTGAATACGCTCAGAATTGATATATTGAAACAAGCCGTGGTATTTGCCCTTATTTAGATAGCATAGGGACCTAGTATTGAGATATTGATCGTCTTGCTTCGCGTTCAAATTGTACAAATTAAGCACACCGGGGTATGGTAGTCAAAATTCACCAGAGAGCCAATTTGGCTGTGTGGATAGCAATACTTGGTGTTGAAGGTTGACTTTTCATAGCCGTCTAAATTGTTTGAGACATTGAGACGGTAAAGCGGGGAGTTTCAATCAAGACCGCTACAGAACATGTGAAGCGGAAGTTTTGGATTTTGCCAACGGCAAGAGCTCATTAATCTTACTCATAAATCTTGCATCATAATCAGGAAGTGAACGAGGATCTCACCCTTGCTCTCTTTTTGTTTAAAGCGTACAATGTCAAGTTGTGCTCGATTTCTCGACTGCAGACTTGTGCTTCATGTATTGCCTTTTCTAACATATAGAGTTTATCGGTGTGGCCTCTTAGTGATGGCTGCTCGAAGCTTTAGGTCGCAGGGAAGAGAGTTGGTACGAATTCGAGTTGATGAAGCATGCAGAAAACCTCGGTTGGAAGCCATCCAGTTGCGCGGTCGGTGAATACGGAGGGAGAATCCAATAGGTTTCCTTACTCAACCTGGATCCGAGGTTGGTCTGATTTTCTAGCTGCTGTAATGGATGTCTGCTATATATTGGCTCAATTCCTATAGCTGTTTGACTTGTCGTTGACAACACTGCTGACAATGTAGATTGTATTGTAAATATTGTATAGGTAGTTTAAATTACATGTGCGTCGTGAGGTACTCCGTTGTTGCCATAGTGGAGGCTAAAAGGGTTGAATCGATGTTGCA